TCAAGCCGCTTTAAACTATTGTCATTGTAGTGCGTATTTAATGTGGCGCTGCACTCTGATGTTGTAGGAGAAAACATGTAGAAAAAAAGTGTATTTAATTAAGTAGAACGTGTTGTCTATATCTATTTAAAGATGCACATTTTGATGTGACGTCACATTTCTCAAACCCCCCCCCCCCCTCCTCGTCACACATCGTCACAAATGTCTGACCCCCCCTCCCCCCGCCGCCCAGGTGCGTGACGTCATTTATGGACGGGCCCCTCTCGCCGCGTGTTCTGCCCGGAGCCACTTTTCTTAACGGTTAGAGCGAAGTCCCTAACCTGCGGTGTGTCCTCTGTTCCGCTGTGTTGCTGCACTAACTTTCCGTGGACATCCGTGAAGACTGCTGGACATCCGTGAAAACGAGCCGAAGAGCTCGTCGCATTCCTCGAGTCGAAGTCAAGATTCTGATAGAGGTTCTCAACGCGGAGCAAAAGCCTCAAAAGTCCGCAGTGAAGCGCCGTGATGCTTGGAATGACACCGCGAAAGAGAAATGGGAACATTGACCGAACAACAAACGCATATTCAAATTTATTGGGGGGTAATTCGACGTTATTTATTTTTTCATGTAATCGCAACACGCTCATTAATTAATCCGCTCTCTGCCTGGACTCCTCCACACTACTGTGGATCCGTGCCAGCATGACTCATTAGCCTTAGCAAATTCACTCTTAGAAATTCAATCTTAACCCTAGCAAGAACAATAAAAATGCATCTACAACCATTTGTCGATACACATGCTGGACGAAGAATCTCCCCACACACACCGCGCTGTTTGACCATACTTCACCACGCCGCTCAGTCAGTTGCTGGTCGCAATTGATCGACACAGCTGCGGCCGGGTAATGAAACTCAAGGATGGCCAGCTTCTTAGCCGCAGTTTCACAGCGCGGTCCACTAACTACAGCGCCGCCGCTCCACCTTAGCCTGTGCGTAACGTTCTCTTCCATCGAGGCTCGTGCAGAGAGCCTGGTTGTAAACCAATCTCCCCGCCGTAGACACACGATATAACCAACAGAGGCCCCCTGCATTAAACCTACACGAATGGGGCAGATCAGTTTTAACGAGCAGAAAGAGGAAACGAGTTACGGGACAATGAGCCCCCCTCTCCCACCCACCACCACCACCACCACCACCCCCCCCCCTATGCACGCACGCGCGCCCGCGCGCACGCACGCGCATTGTTCGACGCAGACTGCGGACAGCGCAAACAAAATGCGAACACGATCGCTTGTTTATGGGACCTCCACTTGCCAGTATATATATAAAAAAAATAAGAATAGGACGGTTTAACCCTTTCTGGCGATCAAATAAAAACAGCTGTTAAGATGTTAAAACACCAAACTGAAACCAAAAGGTTGATACTGGCAAGGGAGGTCCCATGATGGAGCTGCTCGCCACGAGCTCTCAATGGCCCTGATAGCGGCATTGTCTTGGTGCTGTTCGCCTTTTGGCGTCCTGTGGTCGAACGCTGTTTGAGACTAGGCTCTAAAGAAAGCTGTCTCTGGTGTGGACCGATCAGTTTTTAAAAAAACAATGCATATACTGTCAGAGAGTGTTTTTTTTTTCCATTGCATGTTCACCACAAGTATCGTGTGGTCAATTCAGACACGATTCCTTGCGAGGAGGTTGCAGTTTGGTGTTTTTAACATCTTAACACCTGTTCTATTGCCAGCAAGGGTAAAACCTATTCCTATATTACGATCGCTTGTGTTTCGCACAACACGACAAACAACATAACGAATCGGGGGTTTGGGGACATCGCATTGGTGAATTACGTGATCAACACCCGAATGAGTAAAGTCACGGCACAATCTCCAAAAATGGTAAATTTACGTACGTATCTTCTTTGGTTCTTTCGGTAAAGTCACGTAGAATGAGAATAAAATCATATTATTTTATTCTCATTCTACGTGACTTTACCGAAAGAACCAAAGAAGATGATGAATCCTTGCAGTCACGAAAGCTTTAAATCGAAATTTACGTACGTATGTTTTGTGGGCTGAACATTACTCCGTCGATGTCCGATCTGTGTCTTTGTAAAATAGTATAAAACATTTTTTTTTTGCAAACAAACGGTGTTTAGATGATGGCACTGGCATATACACACACCCGGTGGGCAGCAGACCGCGGTGCAAGCTGTTGTACTGTACTTCTATGCACTCGCATCTACGTCATCCCACTGCTGGCCATCGTCGTGACGTTGGGTCAAATGGATTGCCACGAGGTCCGCACGGCGTGGCGAGCCCCACCTCGTCCAGCAGTCGAGTGGACAGACGGGCACCGCCGGTGCACATTGCTCCGCACTCACGCTCCTCGTGAATCACGCGCGCGCGCGCGCGTGCATCGTGTGGCAGTGTCAATCAACCATCACCTGTTTGCAGCACCGCAAGACACCGCTCTAAGCAACAAATTAGGGCCGCTGCAAATTTATGATGTTATGGACAGAGCCAGCTGCATTCTTTACACAACTCGCACGTTCATAAACCCGTAGCGTTAACCGTGGCCACCGCATGTTCTGTATCGCGTGCGCCATGCGTGATGACAACGCAGGGGCAGGAGGAAACAATATTTGAAATAACTTCATTTTTGTTGTAATGCACGATGAAGCCAACGTAATCAATGTTGCGCTCGTGGAATGCGTGGCTGACCCGTGAAGGCGGTCTAGTACACAGTCGTCCACGTGTATAGTATACGTGCGATGATGGCTTTGCACGTGGCAAGTAATCCTGCAATGTGGAGGCAGCAGCGAGGGTTGCTGGATCAGCGCGCAAATGTCGTGAAATTCCCTTCCCTGGCCTGCCAGTAGAAGGCAGTGCAGCAAGATGATTGATCGCCATCTGTTTCCATCTGTGCGGGGATTGAGTGTTGCCCCCTTGCGCACGTGGGGTTTTTGTCCGGCTGCTGTGGTTTCCTCCCACGTGTACAATATACGCTCATCATTAATTGGCTGAAAACATCTTTAAAAAATAATTCACAGTTTAGCAGGACTCTCTTGCCAACGAGCACTCGAGTTCAGTGTGCCTTTCCTGGATAAACAAGTAAATATATATTCTTGGTTCTTTCGGTAAATTCATGTAGAAGGGAAACAATAAAATAATAAAAATATAAAACAATAAAATTCTCACGACGTTTTGACTGCAACATAAGCGATCATCATTATTTTATTGTTTCCCTTCTACGTGACTTTACCGAAAGAATCAGGAATATGAATCCCTGCAGTCACGAAAGCTTTAAATCAAGTAAATATATACCGTGCGTAGTACGTGCTATGGTATACATTGTATCATCATCATTATCATCAACAGCCGTGATCAATCCACTGCTGGATGGACGCCTCCCCAAGCCGACGCCACCTCTCACGACCCTGTGAAGATGTAACAGCGCATGTTGCACACGTGTGGATGATCTACAAGGGGCACTGGACGGGCTGGTGTGTGTTTGTATCATACGCAATGTATGGTATGCAAGCACATTGTATAAACCGTTGTCAAAGGTGTTAACGCCTCTGCGGTATTGCACATTTAAGTCATTATGTGCCGATGTTTTTTTTTTACACAAATTAAACAAACTGCAAACAAGCATTCTTTGGGTATTTCGGTAAAGCCACGTAGATAGGAAAAAGATAATAAAAAATAATACAATATTACGACGTTTAGTTTTGATTCTATTTTCTATCTACGTGGCTTTACCGAAACACCCAAAGAATATGAATTCCTGCAGTCACGAAAACTTTAAGTCAAGATTTGCAAACAAATAATAAAATAAACTCTTCCTCGTGGAACATAATGGCCATTATTTCCCCAGGGATATCTCACTGAGTTTTAAATCTCGTCGAAAAGAGAGTCAATGTCTGCATTGGAATTTTGAGTCAATTCCCTTACTGATGAATTGGCTGTGAGTCGTAGGGGAAAGAAACTGGGGTACCCGGACCAAAACCCACCACAGACACGAGGAAATGACACTCAGAGCTCCGCACAGATGGATTCATCTTACAGACTTAATCCACTAAGTTGAACACATCTCTCCGCGGACCACGGCCCCATTACTATACTGTCACCTACCGGCACCCTGCAGGGCTCACAGACAAACGCCTACAACACCTGATATGCACCGCCGGTGGTTCATCCATTCATGTATGGACACGCAGGCTCTTCCCAACGGACGCTTCCGAGATCGGGCGCATTGATTCCGAGTGACGTTTACATCCCTAGATTTTTTTCTTCTTTTCCAAATTAATGAACCGATTCGAATCTCACGTGCTTGATTAAATGTTTCAACGTTGACTCAATCGACCAGCACCACCGTCATCATCATCCCACAGGGGGTCGGTAAAGTAAGTACACCCTTAGGAGGCTTCACCATTTTAGTGTGTAGCCAACATTATTATTATTATGTACAGGACCCGGCCATAGTAATGTGGAAATTCCACGACTGCCCGGAAACTAAAAAAATGTAAGGCGACTAAATATTCATCTTGAGTCACGTTTCAGGGCACGGGGACACGTCGACACTCGTGGAAGCACGGCACAAATCTCGCATATAACAAACAAAAAAACCTCACGAGGCGACCGTGACTGGTATGGCGATTGATGCCAAGTCTGTGATGCTATAGAAAGGGCTGGGGAGTTGAATTTGGCGACAAATTATGTAGCGTTTATGTCTAACTAAAAAAAAAATGCTTAAAAAAATAAACGTTTTCAAAATGTGCACTTCCCCACCCCCGTCCTCCAAAATATATTCTTATCGGGACAAACAACTTGTGAATGTTTCGTCTTTCCAAAGTACGCCTCTGTGTATCTGGCGGTGTTTCGATAGGCTAACTTTCAGAAAGTGGATAGAGCCCTCCGTTGGTGATATCACCTTACACAGTCAACCTTAGCGTCCCATACAGAGCATGCGAGTGTCACGCACACAGCATCAGTACATACACGAACACACAGGTGGTGCAGCTCACTCACCCATGTTCACGAAGCTCATGACCATGTCAGCGTCGCTCAGAAAGTTGCTTTCCTGGGGACTCGTCAGATGTGAAGCTCCCAGCAGAGGTGGTGGTCCACGGCCGATGAGTATGGATGATGGTGGTGATGATCCCTGCTGCTGCTGCTGGTTCTGGTACTGATAATGATATTGAGCAGAACCCACGGTGGCACCACCACCACCACCACCGCCGCCGCCGCCAGCCTCTGCAGGCATGGAGTTGTACAAGTCCAGCATGAAGCGTGGGGCCGCGCTCTGCCTGCCGGTGGGAGCCGGGGGTCTGGGTCGATGAGGCAGCCCCAGGATGGAGAGGATCTCCCTCTGTAGCTCACGCCTCTCGTGAGAGCGCAGCTGACGGTGGATGAAGCTGGATCGGACCGTGTCCGCGCTCGCTCCGCGCGGACCCTGGTGCGATGAGAGGGCGATGCTGCCCAGCAGAATCAAGAGTGTGGCTGGAGAGACCATGGCTGTGACCACGACACCTGCGTCCCACACGCTGCCTTGCAGTCTATGCTGTTGACGCTGGTGTGTGTCCTCTCTAGGGCTCGTCACCGATGTTTCTCTGGTACCTCTCTTATATCTGATGTCTTGTCGGTTATATTCCTACTTTGTCTCGGTTCAAGTGGCTCGTCACACTTTGTGCTCCGGATGTCCTCGTCTGTCAATGGTGTGGGCTTCCCCCAAGTGGGTGTCGATCTTGTTGCTTGTTTCTCAATGCCCCGAGCTACCTCCCGCCTCTAGTTCTGCCGAGCCGCTTGCTCTTCTCTCCTTTTATATAAATACCGCTCGCGTATCTCTCACTCCGTTCACGCGTCGCTCCTGTGTCCCTGCTCGCTCGCTCTCTCTCTCTCTCCGCGCGTCACTCGTCCGCTCAGCCCCGCTCCCTCTCTCTCTCCTCTCTCTTTCTCCCCTCTCTCTCTCCCCCCTCTCCCCCCTCTCTCTCTCTCTCTCGTCGCTGTCCCGATCTCTCGGGACGGGTCGTGGCTTCTGCGTGCGCGGCAGCAGACAGGCACGCGGTGGAGTTCCTTATCGGGTCTCCCAAGTTCACCTACAACAGTGGAGCACGCATCGTGCCCACCGTGCCTGCCCGGCAGCGTTTGACACTTGGCAAACAATAAAAAACAAAACCCCAACCAACCCAACACATAGACTTCTGCGCACAAGCAGTCCTGATTCTATAAATTACCTCCCTTTTATTACTCACGTATACAGTGTATAATCATATATATAAATAATGTCGCTGCTAATTGCCTTGCCTTACACGCCTTCCCATGAATAGCTTTTAAGCTTCGCTAGCCTGTGTAGCGTGACGGGCAAAGAGACGCACTCATGGTCCCGTGCCCGCTATCACACACGCGCGCACGCACGCGCACGCGTGCTACCTCGAACGCAATCAATTATCGTCTTATTCTGCTTCCTTCCTTCCCTTCATTCACTCGGCACTCGGCTCTCGAACGCCGCCGTTGTTTTTTCCCCCTAAGGCCCCGTGACCGCGACGAACGGCCACGCGAACACGCGCTTCGCCCTCTGCCTCCGCGCCGTCTTCATCCTCGGTCCCAGACCTTGGAGCGAACGACAAAGGGGAGGAGGAGGGAGGAGGAGGAGAGGGCGAGAGGAGTCGGCGGCGATGCGCGAGGCTCCAGTGGGCGTCAGGCTGTTGGGGGGGGGGGGGGGGGGTTGCTGCTGCTCCGCTAAATAGTCACGGTTAGACACCACGATCAGTGCGCGCTCTGTGTGGCAATCTCGCCCCCTCGCTGCTGACCCAGAATAAGCCACCAAAGCTACCGCCTCCACTCGCTCTGTTTGCTGCCCGCTTATTATTTTTCTCCCCTAACCACTACTTCCCAGCCCCCCCCCCCCCCACCACGTCGACGATCACCCCCCCCCCCCACCACTCTACCCCCCCCCCCCCCCCACCACCACCAAACTCTCGCTCTCCTAACCACGCGCAATAGAGTCCGCCCCTCGTCCACGCGGGCGGAGCGCTCGGAAGGAGGATGAGACTGTGCAACACGCGTGTGTGTGTGAGTGTGCGCGTTTGCGCGCGTGTGTGTGGTGTGAGTGTGCGCGTGTGTTTGAGTGTGCGCGTGTGTGTGAGTGTGCGCGTGTGTGTGGTGTGAGTGTACGCGCGCGTGTGTGTGAGTGTGTGCGCGTGTGTGTGTGAGTGTGTGCGTGTGTGAGTGTGTGTGAGTGTGCGCGTGTGTGTGAGTGTGCGCGCGTGTGTGAGTGTGCGCGTGTGTATGAGTGTGCGCGCGCGCGCGTGTGTGTGTGCGCGCGTGTGTGTGTGTGTGAATGTGTGCGCGCGCGTGTGTGTGTGCGTGTGTGCGTGTGTGTGTGAGTCTTGCGCGCGTGTGTGAGTGTGTACGCGCGCGCGTGTGAGTGTGTGTGTGAGTGTGCGCGCGTATGTGTGTGTGTGAGTGTGCGCGCGTGTGTGAGTGTGCACGCGCGCGCGTGTGTGAGTGTGTGCGCGCGTGTGAGTGTGTGTGTACGCGCGTGTGTGTGTGAGTGTGCGCGCGTGTGTATGTGTACGCGCGCGCGTGTGAGTGTGTGCGTGCGTGTATGCGCGCGCGCGTGTATGTGGGCGCGTGTGTGTGAGTGTGTGAGTGTGCGTCCGTGTGTGTCTGGGGAGCGTTCGTGTAGCGGTTAGCTCGCTGCGCTGCGAACCCGGCTAACCGAGTTCGATTCCCGCTCGCGGCCAAAAGCGGTGACGATCATCTGAACCGGCTCTTGCTCCTCCGCTAGGTCGACTCAGCCTCAATTGAGTACCCGGTGCGGTGTGTAAACATCGCCGCTAGGGAGACAAAGGCGGCCGGGCGTTGTGCTGGCCACCCACCGCCTCGAGTTCCGTTCCGACCTTCATAGGTGCTCGCGAACAGCACTTGCCCGAACAGCCTGTTAAGGTTACACGGGGGATCTTTGTTTTTTGGAGAGACGGTGGTGCAGAGGTTAGCGCAGTGCGCTTCGTACCCGGCAGCCCGAGTTAGATTCCCGCTCTCACGACCAATATCAGTTAGAGCGAATATTTAAGAAGAAGAAAACACCGCCCTGAGTCTCCCCTAGATAAACTCAGCCTCAAATTAGTACCCGCCGCGGTGTGTAAACATCGCCACTGGGAGACAAAGGCGGCCGAGTGTGGTGCTGGCTAACAGCACAGTTTGTCTTTATCTATGTACTGCATTTTGAACTTCTTTCGCATCGCACGTAGCCAACCATGCTAATCGGAGGTGGACGCGTACATATGTGTGATCACGTGTGTATTTTTGTACGTATGTATATATGCGGTCGCTACCATCGGAGGTACACAACTGTAAAATGCAGCAGAGTTTGTATACGGAGCACAGTTATTGGAGGCGGACCTGCATTAAAGTGATGAAGGAGAGAGCAGGTTTGGAGTGCTCTTCTTGGAAGGCTCAATTTGATTATTAAGAGTCAGAATCAGAATATGTATTTATACCGGTGTAATCAGATGAGCTATGAAGCTCTTTTTCAAAGATGCCCAGGAGGGGCTGGTCAAAACGTTACAACAACAAGCAGTACAAACGCACGATATGAGTGCAAAGTATGGGAAACGTAAAACAAATAACTTTTAAAAAATATACACAAATTAAACGAAACTTTTTTTTTATCTTACCAGGTAAAAGCCCACTGAGCTATCAACGTATTTATTTTAGAAGCGACCTGGACACAAATGATAGCTCAACAAAGCGGCTCGTCGCGTGGAAATGCACAGCAGCAACATTTTCATCGAAATTAATGTTTCTAAATGCGGAGGGGAAAACAAAAACCGGAGGAGCCGGAGAAGACAAAAAAATCCACGCGACCACGGAGGGAGGGAGAGAGGGAGAGCGAGCGAGAGAGAGAGAGAGAGACGCAAACTCTCCAAGAAGCTTTCCGTTCAATCAGTGCGCACACGACACCCGCTGTCGGGACGTGCGGCTCAGAAATGTGGCCAAGAGCGAACGTCCCCTCTGGAGGAGGATGGAGCGATTTTGACTCGAGGTTTTCAACCCAGCAGCTGATTGTCCGTGGCACCCGATTCAAGAGCCGAATGGCTCACAGGGCTATACCTAATAAATGAACTGAACTGAACTGCTGCTGTTGATGATGATGACGATGCTGATGATGATGATGATGATGCACAGCCTTTTAAGGTGAATCCACTTCTGAATGACGACCTTCAGGCCGTTGCGGGCCGTGGGAGTACGTTTGACCATACTTCCTCACACTGGTCAGTACGGCGGGCATTGGCGAATAGGGTGGGGGACCCAGGACCGGATCGTGAACTCGCCACCCGATGGCAGCCGTGGCCGTCAAATCGAGCTGGGATCGCTGGGTTCGTAACGCGGTGCCCTACACACATTGCGCCACCCGCTCCACCCAATGAGTACCGACAGTATAGCCTGTAGCTGTATACAATAACTTACGTGCGTGTTTCGTTGACTCATTATGTTGACGTGAACACAATTATGTACACACGCAAACTGTACGCTGCATCACAATGTGGCTATGTACAGGTTGGGGAGAAGAGTGGTGGCGCAACGGTTTGGACCCTGCGATACGAACCCGGCGACCGAGGTTAAATCCCGATTTCCCTACCGCAGCTGTGACATCAGTGACGAGGGATGTTTGAACCGGTCCTGCCCCCCCCCCCTCCCCTTCACCACAACCGCGCTGACCATCGTGGTGAAGTATGGTCAAGCAACACCGACGCGGAGAGGGGGTGGCCTTAATCCCAGGAGTGAATTAACGCATGTCAACCCGAGCGAGCATGAAACATATATATAAATGACTCAATGCCCGATTCACAAACACGAAGGAGGCATCCAGAGCCGTCCCTAGGGTATGGCGAATCGGTGCGACCGCCTCGGGCCCCGCGCTTTGGGGGGCTCCGCGCTTCGACTTTCACAGTGTCAGATGTAATAGTTACGGTTTAGTTTGAATGCGTCGTGGGGTCCTGCATACCGCTCCCCCTGCGGACGGCCCTGTGCGGCATCACAGCAAACACACTCCCCTACTATTGGCCTGATCGTCTGGCTCGAGCGCCTCAATGTAAAGTCACAGTTGTTGCTCTGCAGCGGCGGTCTTCATTATAAGGCCCCCGGGCCACTGGCGGCCCCTGGTGGCCTTTTAGTGCGGCCCCTGACAATACACACACCACGTGACACCCCCCCCCCATCGTCATCATTGTGCCGCTGTTAAACCCCAATGGTTTCAAATGCGTGGCGGCCCTCACTCTGATGTCGCCCTTCTTCTTGGTTCGTTCGGTAAAGTCACGTAGAATGGAAATAAAATAATAAAAATAAAACATTATGTTTTATTTTTATTATGTTTTATTTTTATTATTTTATTTCCATTCTACGTGACTTTACCGAAAGAACCAAGAAGATGAATCCCTGCAGTCACGAAAGCTTTAAATCGAAATTTAATGTCGTCTTCTCGGCGAAAGTGGCCCTCCTCTGAATATTAGTGAAGAACACTGCTCCACACTAACATCAACCGCACAAAGAATAAGTCCACAGCATGCATGTGTCCCTGTTGAATGTATCATGACGCTAAATTCTTTACATTGGTAATACCTTTGCAAACCTAACGCTTCTGTTGTGCGTGAGACCCTTGCTTGCTTTGTTGGAAATCTTCGAGGCGCAGTAAAGACTCCACGTTACGATGCCAAGGAGTGTATCATTTCCACACGACAACTGGGACTGGCGTCCCGACCAAACGGAGCTCACTTGAGAGGCGGTCCTGCTTTAAGAGACAAAGCACGCCACGGCATGTAATGTTCTTGGTTCTTTCGGTAAAGTCACGTAGATAGAAAAGAAAAATAAAATTTAAAATTAAAAAATATTTTTTATTTTCATTTTTTTTATAATTATATATATAAAAAAATTATTTTTTATTTTCT